TTTCTATAATATTTTTTACTCCATACATCCATTTTCACTACTTATTCATTTCACAATTGCGGTTGAGATGGAGCTCATCCCGACTGTCATAGAGTGAGATCCAGTTCTCTTGCAGGGCTGACTCAGAGAGACAGGCAGTCGTTCATTCTTACTGCCAATTTAGAATCACAATTAAAATAACATGAATGTCTTTGGACTGTAAAGAAGCCAGAGCACCCAGAGAGAGCTCACACAGACACGAGAAAAACATGCAAATTCCACAAGAAAGGCCCCAGTCTGGATTCAAAACTAGAAACTTCTAGCTATGAGGCAGTGGTCCTAACCATTGCCCTGCCATAGTAGAGGCTTTTCCTTTTTTTTTAACGAACTATAAGCCAATATAAGTCTGTAACAAGCCATCAATTCTTTTTAAAGTTTTATACTTAGGTATTAAATAATCTGACCACTCTAATCCTCAGCAGTTTGATTGAATTCTCTAATGGCAGAATCAAAATTTGCTTTGTAATTGTGTTAAACACTGTAATTACAAGTGTTATCATGTAGGAACAGGAACATCAGCACATAGTAGAATCACAGTACTTTTGTGCTACCAGAGTCTTTGCTCTGTACCAGGTTTATTGTTGGGCCTCAATGATTTTGATGTGTACCTAAAAGATCATAAATAATTCAATCTTTCTGCGCAATCAGGCTGAGCATCCAAGTTTATAACTTAACAGCCATATTCTTCTCCATATTAGGATGGCATGGTGGTGCAGTAGTTAGCACAGTTGGCTTCCACGAAGGTCCCAGGTTCAGCTCCAATCTGGGTGCTTCCTGTGTGCAGTTTGTATCTTCTCCCTGTGTCAGCTAGGGTTCTCTCTGGGAACTCTGGTGTCCTCCCACAGTCCTAAAACATTAATAGGGTGAGTTTAATTGGCGATTCTAAATTAGCTGTAGGTGTGAATGTGAGAATAAGCCCTGCAGCAGATGGATGACCTATCACATGACAGCTGGAATATGCTTTGGAGTGGCCACCACGCTCTGCCATCCTCTCGGTAGCCAGGTCCTGGTTCTTTTGTTTTTTTAGTGATTTCCGGTTTTTTTTATTAATCAAGTGTCTACTAGAGAACAATTATGAGTTTTAATTAAAGAAGGCATATTTTAACAGTTATATTTTTGAATTAATGGAAGCGTCACACATCCCCAGAAGCTATATTTTAAGTTTTAGCTCAAACTACCTCAGAGCTCTGTATATGTCGCAACTTCACTGCTAGCAGCTTAAATTCAGTTAAGCAGTTGCTACCCACACTCCTCACAGTATGAGGGCTTTGAGGAGCAGAAAGCAACTTTCTCTCTGAGGGGTAATTTTACATGTAAGTAAAGCTAAAATGACAGCACAGCCATTGTCTCAAAGGTCTGTGTGCTGTGATTTTGTCACACAGTGAACAGGATTACGACTCCGACAGCGCAGACCAGCATCTTGGGCCTCCTTAGTGTGACTGTCTCAGTGACGGTCAGCTGCTCTGGCAAGAGAAGCTGACTGAAAAATATGGAAATGAGAACAACTTTACTGTGAAATTGGCTGTTAAAAAACAGCATATGTGAGCATGGAGAGTAAAGGAGAAGCAAACTGATGTAAACAGCTGACAAAAAGCCAGCTGAGTCTAACTTGCACTGAGCACAAAATCACAGTAACCCACAGCCCTTTCTTTTTTTAATTGGTTTCCAATCTGCCTTAAAATTGATACTGTTTCTGGTTGTTCTTCAATTTTGGCCTTACTCTAACACTGTTTTCTTCCAAGCTAATACATTTTTACCACAGTCACAGTGTAGTGTATGTCCTAATGTTATAATTTAGCAAGTGTCCTTCACTGAAAAAGGGTAACTATTGGAGCTCTAGTATCTAACACTGCTGTCATGCAGATGAAAGGCTGAGAAGTGGTTTTGTATAAGATGAAAGGCTTCCATGAAGGCAGACAGTGTTACAGACCTGTGCATAGCTGCTGTGATCTGTGGGAAGTGGATGAATAATCAGTGAAGATAAGGATAAACTGGCTAGATAAACACACAGATAAAAAGATAACATTTAATTTGTTATAAATGACGTCTGTCTATAGATTCATTTCTTTCTGTGGAGGTTTCAGTAACACCATACAGCAATAATTTAGATACAACATTTCACAAGCTACATACTGTCCTGCTGTTGGATACATGTATTTGTCTGTCTAGCCACTTTGATCCATTGTTGTGGCTGCATTTTGGACACCTTGCTTTGTCAGTGTAAACCACAGCCTGTGGTCTGGAGACAGAGGGATGGTGCAGGCCTGCAGGTTTCAGATGACCACTCCTTTGTCTGTCCAACACACACGGCTGTAGCCATCACGCTGCACAAAGCTTGCAAATGCAGAGAAGGTAATGCAATTAACCTTGTTGCTGCCTCATACTTAGCACGGAGATGTGGGATGTCTTATTAAATCCAAGAGGCCACAACTGAAATTTGTAATTATTTATAGATGTTTTTTCTCTTGCAGTCTAACTACAACTGCATGAGGAACCAATCAGTGTGCTTTTTATATTTTTGAAACATGTTTATTTTGCATTACATATAGTTTGGAGCTAAAGCAGTTCCATAATTAATGTGTGGTTAAATTTACAGTAAACAAATCAACAAAACGGCATTTAAGACGATGTCAGGATTTGGTTTTATAATATCCTAATCCCAAATACTGTGGGATTTTAGGATGTTTGGGGAAAACATGCAGATGCCACTTACTGGAAAAAGTACTGTGTAAGACATAATCAGCTGTAACACTAAAACGTCCTGCATTTCAGACGGAATCTCTCAGATGATCACTTAATACAGAAATGAACTCAAGCCAAATGGTCCTAAAAATCAGTACTGCTGTGCATCTTCAGAGAAGCTAATGACCTGCTGCTTTATGTGGAGTTTGCACAAACACTCAGTGTGCATGGGTTGTTAATCAGCCTTCCATACTATGACAAAGTGCCACTCACATTGCATTAGGAAAATGTGGCTTTATGTGTTGATGTGGTACACCAGGCACATAATGTTAATTAGACTGCGTGTTGTGTGTGGCAGTTGACTGAAGATTGCTATTTCCTAAAAAGCCCTGACAATTTTTACACTCAGTTGAAGTGATGGTATTAAATTTCGCTGATGTTCTCACATCTTACTGCGTCTTCACATGTGACTCTTGTCTTTTCATTTCCCCATCAGCGTGAGGTTATATCATCCCCCATTCAGTGTCATTTAGTCAGATAATGAAGCACAGGTTGAAATCCCACCTTAAAAAGACATGATACTGAGTATCAACAGGTAAATGCAGGTATAAATTCAGCTTGATTTGAATTTTAGCTTAACTTCAATTACAATAGTAACTTTAATTGTCATTTCAATCAGGAGCACTATTGAAAAGGAGATTAATACACTCACTGGACACTTTATTAGGTCCACTTTGCTAATACAAGGTCTAGTAAAAGATTCAACAAGGCAATGACATGTTAGCATATTGTTTTTGCTCCAGATTTGTCAACGGCAAATCCAGGTTGTCGCATATAAGAAGATTCTCTATTGGACTGACATTTGGTGACTGTGGAGGCTATTTGAGTACAGTGAACTCATTGTCTTGTTCAAGAAATCAGTTTGAGATCATTTGATTTTTGTAAGATTTCTGGAAGGAGGCATCAAAAGATGTGGTCTGTGGTAATAAAATGCAGTAAAAATACACAGTGATACAAAGGGGCCCAAAGTGTGTTGATAAAATAGCCACTATAACATCAACCTGAACTGATACAAGGTAGGATGGATTTGTGTCTCATTTGTGTTGTTTATGACAAATTCTAATCCTATACCATCGAAATGTCACATCATACTCAAAAGACCAGGTAACATTTGTCTAATCATCCACTGTCTAATTTTGGTGAGCCCATTCAAGATCTAGTCTCAGTTCCCTGTCCTAAGCTGACAGGAGTGGCACCTCGTGTGGTCTTCTGCTGCTGTAGCACATCTGCTTGGTTCGATGTGGTGTGCACTCAGAGATGCTCGTCTGCATATCTTGGTTGTAACAAGCGGTTATTTGAGTTACTGCATGAAGCAATCTATCTATTCTCTGGCATCATCAAGGTATTTTCACCCAAAGAACTGCTGCTCACTGGATATTTTTTTCTTTTTTACTCTATTCTCTGTAAATCCTAGAGATGGCTTTGGAGTAAAATCCCAGTGTTGACAACCATGTCATGCTCAAAGTCACTTAAATCACTTTTCTTCCTCATTCTTAATCTCAGTTTAAACAATCTACATGCCTAAATGCACTGAGTTGGTCTAATGTGATAGCTGGCTAATAGTTACTTGCCTGTGTGTTTGTTAATGAACACGTTAACAGATACCTAATAAAGTGGGTGGTGAGTCTATATACTTGGTGGTAGTGCTCTGTTCTGGGACCTCCTTGTCATTCTACCACCAATACACTCCACACCCCCCTCCCACCCACCATATACCACAGAGTACTGATCAATTCAGACACAGGATGAGTCAGAGGAGCTGGGTGGAGGTGGGTTGCAAATCAGCTTGTAGATGCAGAGCGGGGATAGAGATGCTAAAACAGCTAAAACAACATATACAACATGAGAGTTGCCAGTTTCATGGTTAGACAGTAGCTCATAAGTAAATAAGTAAGTAAATCTTAATACGTTGCTCTACACTGTAAGTGTTCTTCAAGCAGAGGATTTGGATTTGTGTGGCTGTTAAATGCTGAAATAGTGCGATATGAATAATTTCAATCTGTGGTCTCTTCATCTGCAGTCCAAGTTAGATCCTCCAGTCCTGTCAGTCATCTTTGTTTGCTGATGCTGCGAAACTTTGAGTAGCTTTTGAAGATGGAAAAACTGATCACTCTAAATAGCCTAATGTATTTTTCAGTGGGATCTAAAAGGCTCGTAAAGTATTCAAACCATCTCCACCCCCCTCTCCCCGGCCTCTTCTCCACTCCTTCTTCTCTTAGAGTAATGTTCTTTGTACACCAGCTGTAGCCTGGACCCGGCAAACCTGCAGCAAGATGAGCTCGGAGGAGCGCGGCTCAGCCATGTCACAGAAGATCTCCTCCCTGTCGCGCAGCAACAGCAGCTCTTCATCCAAACATGACAGCCGACAGGTAACACTCGCGTTATACTTACAGACGTTTTCACTGGTGTCATGTATGTGGAAGGGAGGAAGGCTGGATTTTCTTTTCCCATAATGAAGATTTAATTGAAAAAGTTGTAACTGCCAGTCCTCAGATATTTTTCTCTGCCTCCTAGGAATTATAATACTAGTATAACATCTAGCCACGTTTTGCATTATAGATGTCATGAAGCAAAAACTAAAAGCTGCCTAAAAGGAGGCGTTTTTTTATTAGGATTTACCTACCCCTTTCTCACTATAAAACCAGGGTATTTCTACAAATGTGGAAGATATTGGAGTGCTCTAAATTACTAAACTGCAACTATATCCTCCAAAGTAATTCTCAGACACACCAAATAAAGAAGATGTTGGCACCATGAACAAACTGTTTTGCATTTGCCTCAAGCGTTTATCTGCAGGCTGCCGACTCATTAATTTTTCATTACCAGAAACAGCCTTTTCCTTTTGGAAATGAAAGTAATAAAGTCTTACTCTAGTACTGTCCACAGGACAAGCAGACACTTAAGGCTCACCACTCTGGGGAAGCAAAAAGTGGCAAAAAAAAACAACATTCTCGTTAGCAAGAAAAACTTTGAATAAGGAAATATTCTGACTGTCGTGACACTGCTATGTGGGTTCAGTTACGTTCAGAGAGAGCTTGGTAACCATTTTTTCCCATTTGTTCCAAACCAAACCCTCAATATTTAATTTGTAAAGTGTTTTTGTAAATGATAACACATATCAAAATGTGGTAGAATGGACAGGATGTCTAAATGCAGCAGTCTGAACACATTCACACTTTATAATTGTGTGACGCTGAAACGACGCTGTCTTCTCGGCGCTCCTATCAGAGCCTTGTTACTCAAAGTGTCTCTTGACCTTGAGGAACAGTGTCCAGGCAGTGTGTGACAATGACGCACTGTGTGACTGTGCTGCCCTGGAGCCGTGACGAACACTGAGGGAGAGTCGAACTGTAGCCCGCTGGCCACGCCCTTGGTCAATCCCCTTCAGATATGAGGGTTTATTTTAGATTGCCTCACCCACCAGCATTCAGCCTCTCTGACTGATACAGTGTGTTTTTATACAGTCAGGGACACACTGACACAAGAAGCAAGGATTAACCTCTCCCAAGTGCCCAAAGTCCCTCCCACGGTGTAACACAGACATGATTTATACTTAAGTAGGATAATTTAAAGATAAGCCTGAGGTGTAATATGCCATCATTAGCATTATGAGTTCATATATTATGAGTTAATTTGTTAATTATTTCTAATAATTTGTTGCACATTGACAGTAGATGTGTAAACTGCCCGTCATAATGTTTTCAGCTTTTCTTATTATGTCAATTTAGCAGCACAAAATTAATGAAATGTAGTTATTCTTTTACACCTGCATCATTTTCTAATGACTATATGTTGAAAACTGTTTTTGGGTCTCATTACCAACTGAGGTCACTGCGTCATAACTACTTCACAGCCCACTACTGTTCCTCGGGGTTATTTTTGCTGGCTACATGCCCATTCCACTATTATTTATAGGCTGACTGCTAAGTAGTCATATGAGAATAATCTATAACATTGGCTCATTTGAATGATAGACCCCTTTCTGTTGATTAATCATCTTATTGTTTCAGCACTAATAGAAACTAAAAGCGAAATAGTTCACAAATGATGAATTATTCTGTGCCCACAACGGTATTACAGAAGCCTCTGTTATACTATTCATCCTGCGTTCCTGGAACTCTCACTCCTGAAACACATAACAAAGCTATCTGGATTAGTCCGTGATGAAATATCATCTTAATCTCTGTATTGCAGGGGATTTGGGCTTGACCGTTCTAATCTCATTCAGGAAATTATTATTATAGTGAAGAGTGAGATTAAACAGGTAAGCTAATTTTGTAAATTCAATTCAATTCACTTTTATTTATACAGCGCCAAATCACAGCAACAGTTGCCTCAACAAGCTTTATATAACAAGCTTTTTATTTTTGATAATACAAAGAAAACTGAGAAAAACCCCAGCAATCACATGACTCCCTATGAGTAAGCACTTTGTTGACAGTAGGAATGAAAAACTTCCTTTTAACAGGTAGAAACCTCCAGCAGAACGAGGCTAAGGGAGGGGCAACCATCTGCTATGCCCGCCCATGAGGGGAAAGAAGTCTGTATAACTTCACCCTGAACACCTTATTACATAGGGCTACATCTATAAAAAAAAAAATGCTAATCTTCCACTTATAGAGCCTCCTGCTGATTGACTGACACTGATGAAAGTGAGGCATCAAATTTAAATCACCCCAGCAGCCACAGATTATAATATGTTTTGAGTGTGATTATGGCACTTGCTGAGTGGTTGATTCGCTCAGTTCCATTTATAAATCCTCCTCTGAAACTTTCATTTGCATGGCGTGCAGATGTCTGTCCTCTCAGAGTTCTCATAAACCATTGTATTCCAACAGGACAGCTGGGAAATCGTGGAAGGCCTGCGAGGAAGCTTCAGCAGTGTCCAGGAGCCTCAGAAACAGGAGGGCTACATGATGAAAAGAAGAAAGTGGCCAATGAAGGGCTGGCACAAGGTAGCATGGAGCACCTGTGTGGTCTTCGTGTGACCCATGTGACTCATCTTTCAGAGTAGTGACAGCTTAACGTCATTTCATTGTCCTCGTTTCACACGGCACTTTTTAGGCACTTGCCTCTGCAAATCTGCTGACACGAGTCATTTGTGTTTTAAACTAATTGAATGAGCTTATGTAGTAGATAATTTGACTCACAGAGGAGTCACATGTGACCAGGGTCAGTGCCTGTTTACACTCTGTCTGAAAGCTTTTCCTGGGATAATGCCTAGATATCTTGGTGGTCCTCTCAGATGCATTAGCTGATGGCCTGTTGGTTACTAGGGTTGTATACATTTAGTATTGACTTGCAGTCGGAGCTTTTTAGGTCTCTGTGCTTTCAACAGTCTGATTCTGTTGATGTACAGTAAAAGCACCAAGAATTGCATTTACAAATTGAGTGGATGAGACATATTGCAAGTGAGTGAGAGGAAGTGTAATAAAGGAAGACAGATGTAAGACAATAGCCTGGAATTGCATACATCCCACTGCAGCAACATACATTTTAGGAGACTGACTACCATGACCTCAGCCTCATAACACTGACTTTAGATTTGCTGTCAGGGATGTTGCATATCATGTCCAGTTGTATCTCATTGGCTGATTGTCCTTCTCTCTCCCTCCAGAGATACTTTTTCCTGGACAAGGGTATCCTTAAGTATGGCAAGTGCAGTGCTGATGTGAGTACAAAAGGCTGCTGGCTGAATGCTGTGTGAGCTCATCATTTACAGAAGATTAAAAAGGACACTTGATGTCTTTTTCAATGTTCTTGTCAGGCTCCTGACCGCCTGCGCCCAGAGATACAATAGGCCCTAATTCTCTCTCAATCTCCTCATTGTTGATAGCAATCAGACTGTGTATTTTACCTACAGATCACACATAATTACGCATGGGCCGCGTCACAGCCTAAAAAGGGATTATTATTTTATGCATTGTTTGCACTGAGTTTCATCTGTTGCATTCATAACAGTGAGAGCTGTCTCATCCAACAGATTGAGAAAGGGAAGCTGCATGGTTGCATTGATGTGGGTCTCTCTGTCATGGCCATTAAGAAGAAGGCCAAGTGCATCGATCTTGATGCCGAGGAAAACATCTATCACCTGAAGGTAAACCACAAGACTAATAAAGACAAGGGAATCCCTACAGGCTTAAATAGGCTTAAGGCTTAAAGGGGTTAAACATTTTTTCCCGAGTTTTTGCTTTTTAATTCCTGGTACAGATGCCATCATTAAAAGGACTTCAGAATTACCTCATGTGATATATATGTGTGCCAGAGGGAATAACTGCTCACTCCATACCTGTGTGTGTGTTTTTCCACTGACACACCTCTTCCATCTTACTTGCCCTTGTGCTGATTTTCTGATTGCGGTATCTGCTCTACAGATTAAGTCTCAGGAGCTGTTTGATGAATGGGTATCCAAGCTGCGTCACCATCGTCTTTATCGGCAAAATGAGATTGCCATGTACCCTAACGAGAAGTCCTTGTTCTATCCCCATTATGCCTCCCCGAACTCTCCTGGCATCGCCGAGGGACCCCCTATTAGAAAGGTATAACTGCGCCACACAGCATGCTGTTGCTGAAAATGGTCGGGTCTGTTTAAAATGAAAATGAAAAACAAAGAGGATTCTCGTGTGTTTTTCATCACGAGCATCATTATTCCATGTGCTGTATTTAATGAAGTGAATTCCCTTTGCTGAAAAAAATTAATGACACAGCCAAAGTGTTTTTGAACTGACCTTTGGGTCTCTTTGTTACTGCAGTGCCTGTCCATACGAAGGCAGTCCACAGTGCATCATGCCGCAGCTTTCCCTTTAAACTCCAACAGCCAAGCAAAGGTGGCTGCCTGGCTCCAGTCATCTGACGAAATGGACAAATGCTTCAAAGGTGAGAGACAAGAGCAGCCTCTCACGATTTGATTTTTTTACACTTTCTGAATTTCTGAGGAAAATTTCCACAATAAAGAACTTGCCTGGCTAAAATGGGGAGAGCTCGTAGCGCTAAGACACATTCTTTAATTTGGGGTTTTTATCTCTGTGTGGGATCATTTGCACTGTTATTAAAGTCATAAGATGCATTCTTGTACTAGTTGTTTAAAAATCTTCAATTTTCCACCTGGATGATGATCTCCAATGTGATTATGGTTTTGCTGAGGAAAATAATCAACTCAGATAAAGCCATTTAAAATTTAATCGTACCTTCCTCGTATTGTGCCTTTGGCTCTTTTTTTGCAGTCCTTAATCTGTGGAAATGCACTCTTCCTTGTGGTAGAGTGTATCATGCTGCTGCTGCTGCTGCCGTGGTCGGTGTGTTTGGTGTGCATCAAATTTTATGTGGGTGGTACATGTTAAACTAATATCTGCACAAACGCCACAACCCAAGGTTTCCCAGCAGAGCGCTATATTGTGCTACAATGATCGATGTTATTCACTTCACTTGGTTTTATTGTTGTGGCTGATCTGTGAATATGATGCAGATAAGTAAGAGAGTTCATGCAAAGTTTCCTGCTTACAACGATGCTACCGATACCAGTCAAAGACATTAGATTGTTAGAGGGCCCAGCTTTTTCATTTATACCCATTTTCTACTTCTTGTCAGGGTCCTGGTCATGGAGGAAGCGATCTAACCAGTTCTAATATATTTATGTTATTTGGGAAATGCTTCTATAATTGTGTACGCCTGCTGTCTCATTTGCAAGTTAGATGAGGCTGGCAGAGTGGTGATCATAAAGAAACAAGCTGGTGATTACTAATGCACTGTTTGTCTCAGTTTTCATTCATTAAGATTCTGACGATGTGCTGTCAGCACTTTGTAATCCAGAAACTTTGGAAAATGGACACGACAACTCACGCGCACATTTACAAACACAGCATGGTTTCAGTTGGACTGGTGTCTATTTAGTTGTCTGTCATTTCATAATGTGTATGTTCAAATACTGTCACAATTTATTTATTATTATTTATTTATTTATTTAAACATAATCCCATAAAATAATAGGACACGTTAACATAATTTTAAATGTAATATTTATTTTTAATACTTGACTGCAAAGCATGCAAGCAGTTTCCTCCCTTGAGATGCTCTGCCAGGCCTTTACCTCAGCCACTTTGACTAACCTTCTCTTTCTGAGGCAGATGCAGTTTGAAGGTGTTTTTCTGATTCTGGTAATATGAGAAGTTTTTAGGCTTGCTCTACAGGCTGCTGTTCATGCTTGAAAAAGATGCAAAAAGCAGAAATAGATATCTTGGGAGGTGAATCGCCAAACTGAGGAGTCTATTTGAATAAAGCATATATAACATAGTGCATATGGTTCAGTAAGCACATGTGGCACCCTCTAACTTTGTCAAACTGAAATCACCAAACTTGTTGATGACAGATTAGGATATGTCAGCCCTCTCTGCTGTTTCTACAGAGACTGGTTTTTGAGTTCACTCAATAGGCCCAACTAACACGTGCCCATTTGCAGGCACTGCCCTTTTTCTCACTTTAGCCTTTTAACTGTCTTTTCTTTTTCACTTCATACCTCCTTTTATAACTATTAGTGTTTGTTCTCATCCGGACAGACTTATCAGTATGTGAGGCCTATCTCCTAGAGCTTAACCACCTGCTTCAGAGTATGGAAGTAATTCACCGGACTTATTCTGCTCCATCCATCCAAGCACTGCAGGTCAGCACTGCAGTATTTCTGGTTACTTTACATGCAGGGTAACTTTTCTGATGATACAAAACATTATTAAGTTATTTTCTGTTGACCTTAACTCACCTCTTATTAAATATAGAAGATATTTCAGCTTGCATCTTGCTCTGGTAGTTGTGAAACCACTTTCCATAAAAAGCCTTCCTTTAAAGACAAAAAAATCCTCACTGGCCTGACTGTCAATAATTTCACATCTGCTTTCTTAGGCGTCTACTTTTGACAGCCCCAAAAAAGAAAAGAGACTTCCAAAGAAGTGGCGCACTAAAAACTACAACAAAGATGTCAAAACAACTCTGCAGGTAGACAACATGACAGAGAAGTGTGATCATGCTTAATTTGTTTTTATATTTCCTTGTGAGTATCTCCAGTTTTTCTTCCTGCTCTGCTCTAGGTACCGAGCTGCATCTCCTCTGGCTCTATCCGCCTCCATGCCTCAAACCCCAACCTATCCACTGCTGCACTGAGCAATGATAAAGCCGATCCTGAATCCCTGGACTCCCCTTTTGATGTGGCCAAGCTGCAAGAAGACTTCTGTCGTGTTGCCACCAACTGTGAGTGAAAAACTCTAGTTTCAGATAAAACTCTTTAAAGCACACATTTTTAAAATTCCTCAATCTGCTTCCGATAAATCTGCACGAAAGCTAAGACTGGTGTGGTGCTGCTACTTCTAACAAGTTGAAGTGTTAGTTGCTGTTAGTTATGTGGATGTCTTCTAGCTGATATTAGGTCAGAAGTTTGTTTTTTGTGCCACAAAACCTGTTAAATCTCTTTGTAAGGAAGTGGTTGACGCATAGAGGATGAATATAATTTTCCTTCTGTCCTCTTTGGAATGTTCTATGCAGATTCTTGGTGCTTGACATGGAGTAATGAGATTCATTTGTTTTTTACATAATGGCTTTACAGTTTCAAACTTACTCCGGAGAACTGCTGTCAGTTCTGCTGCTATTTAAACTAACGAATTTATGCACACATTTAAAATTATGGAGCTAAAGATGTGTGATGGGCTTAATCATTTATAATGGCAGGGTTTTCCAAATAATGATCTTTTTGATTCCCTCTTTTTGTGTCTCTTGTTGCTGCCAGTGCATACAACCATGAAGGCGGCCCTGAGCACACTGACATCAGAGAGAGAGAGATTAAAACAATGCCTGGATCACGAAACCTGCCCCCCCACCTCTCCACAAGTTGTAAATTTGAAGAACACGCTGGCTGCGGTATGTGAAATAGCACACCCCCTTGCACATTTTTTGCAAGCGGATGTTTTCAACAGAAATAGGTATTAGCTATTCTCCTTTTTTCTTCCTTTTTTAATTTTTTTTTTGCTTTTACACTTCTCTCGTATGTCGTGTCCTCCCACACCATTTGTCAAGCGTGACACATTTACGAGTATTTTAGAGGGATTACTAGCTGCCGGTATGATGTCAGCCCCCCTAAATGAGACCGCATTCAACAGTCATGTTTCCTGTGGCTGCTGCCTCCCACCAGAGGCTTGTTTTTCTGTTTTCTGTCTTTGGTTGTACATGTTCATTGTCATGTAGTCAGCGAAGAAATGTGTTGGCGTCGAGACCGCGCAAATTCTAATGCGGCACAAGTATTTCTTTACACATTCAGATTTGTGTGGTCTCTGCTATAGTCTGCTGGATTTTAGCTTTTAGCTTTTCTTATTGGTTTCTCTGGTTTGCTTACTCTGTTCCACTTGACATAATAACAGGTGAAAGCATCCCTCTCCAGTACGTAAATGAGTAAATGTGACGTTTACTGATTTTCTTGAGATTACACAACTCCAAATCAGCCGGGTTTTGATTTATGCTGAGGATTTCAAGCATTTCAAGGCTCGGGTGTTTGCAGTAAACAGTGTTTAAACTGGTTATTTTTTCCAGGCTTTAGCCCAGAACTCAGAGCTGAGAGAACGCCTGTGCAAGATTCATGCTGAGTCCCAGATCATAGAGCCCACACTAATAACGCTCACTGCCCCTGTGCAGGTGGGTGCAGGAATGCAGTGACTCGATTCCCCCACCTTCATGACGATTATTCTTATATATCTGTCTTTATTTTTATCCCCCGCAAGCTTGAATGTGCCACAGAATGAATGAGCTGTCCTTTTCCTCTCATCTAGAATCAACAAATGTCACTCTCCTCTCACCCCCTCATCCAGCTCAGTCAATATGAGAAAAATTAACAGAACTTTCTTTTGGGGAACACTGCCTCTTCCTCTCAGCCTCGTCGTTGCGTAACCAAATGTCTCACCATGACACGGTTCAGAAGAAGGCTTCTAGCTCCATATAATCGTCTTCTAAAGGAAACTCTTTGCTCGTTTAATCGGATTTGCTGATCACACAAAGCGAGCCGATCTGCTTAATTGTGTCCCTGGAAACACGCAGAGCAAAACTAATACGCCTCCTCTGAGAACATCTCCATGTTAATTAATCAGCTTCACCAATAACAAAGGGTAGATTGGGACGCTCAAGTCCATGTGTGGAAAGCTATCTCATATTGGCAATCAACTGCATGCTTGTCAGTTATTTTCTGAGATGTGTGCAGGGCAGGCATGCAGCCTCACTTCTCACTGTAATTATTCTTGCTTTATTTAATACAGTAGTATATTGTCAGGCAGTCTCTAGGTAGGAATAAATTGTCTTATGAAATTTTGATTCTGAAGAATTCATGTTTTCAGCAGTTCATCATTTGGCTTATTTGACTGATAACAGTATGATTGAATGCAGACACACCCATGTTGAGACGCTATGCACACGACTGCATAATGTCACTCAGCTGTTTGTTAATGTTTATAAACCTACATTTGTTAAATCAGTGAAGAAATTAAAAAAGTGTATGACGGGTGTGATGTCAGCCAATATATTTACGTATGTTTTATAAATGACTGTCTTTCAATATATTGCAGATTAAATTTGTGGGTGTTATGATTGTCATACTCTGCATGTTGTGATTGTGTTGCATTCTCAATGACACTGTGATTGCCACCCCGGGAATGATGGCGGGGCCCCTTCCTGTGTTCTTATTGTAGCTGTGGACATTGTTTCTCTTAGAAACAGGAATCAGTAGATGAAGCCCATCCCCTCGTACACCAAGTATCCAATGAGAGCAGAGCTTCAATCGCGGAGTCTTTGTCCGAGTTCTTTGACGCACAGGAGGTTCTGTTATCTGCTAGCTCTTCTGAAAATGAGGTAAGTGTGGAGACTAAACTCTTCATTGTCAGTAGTTGTGATGTTGGGTCTTTTTGCTTGTAGCAAACTGATGTTTAGAGCTACATAATAGAATTATCATTGCTGTTGATGTTTGGAGTAATTTGTCTTGTTTACACAAGCACAACCAGAACAAAACCTCCACCAGTGGCTCTTACTTTATTTATTGCCTGTCACCCAGGATTTCTTCACTTTTGTCTCTGTGTCTGATAACTGGCCTAAATTTTGTAAGCACACTGGACAATTCATGGTATTTTATTACAAAAAAGGGGGAAATGCCATTTAACTTAACGTCCTGTCTTAAATCCATTTTTTTATGATATGTGTCATAAAACAAATCTGCCCTATGTTAGTTCAGCCTCCTCTTCCTTCAGTGCTCATGTGGCATGCTTGATGAGGTAGCACCTGGAGCGGAAGCAATGTGAAAATGAAAGTTAATTACTTTCATCTAAAAATACAGCGAGCCGAGGTGCAGCTCTGCCACCATGTCCTAAGAGAACCTTCATCTCCACCACTTTAGATCTTCTGCAGATGTGACAAGATGTTAAAAGAGACTCGTTCATTCGCTTTTTGTCAGTGTTATTAAAACAACTTGAATGTTTTGTTTTTTTTAGGTATCAGAGGATGACTCATATATCAGTGACATTAGTGACAACATTTCCATGGACAACTTCAGTAATGAGACCGAAAGTGAAAGACCAAACTCGGGTAAAGTCATTACAGTACTAGCCTTGGGACACTTTTATGCATTTATATACAAATGATATTTTGGTACACTGGGTTGTCGGTATGTATTATCAAGGTGTCCCTAACCTCAGCTCTTATACCGACTCTTTTCAGGCTCTGTGGAAGAAGGCACTGTTCTTTATCGTCGTAGATCCTGTCTGCCCACACCCAGCCCAAGCAACACCTCCATCAGCTTGTGGAACATCCTTAGGAACAACATAGGCAAAGACCTTTCCAAGGTTGCAATGCCTGTGCAACTTAATGAACCCCTCAACACCCTGCAGAGACTGTGTGAGGAGCTGGAGTACAGCGAGCTGCTAGACAGGGCCGCCAACACACAGGACCCTTTTGAACGTATGGTGAGAATGCAGTTTCGCTCTTTGAGTGTGCTCAAAGAGCACACTCAAAGGGCCTTTTTTGTTCAGCTTACTTGTTTGCTTTGATGATTCCTCTGAGAAGAAGAGCTGCTGTTGGTAAAACTAGCGTGACAAGTAAGAGATGCCGTATATAGCCAAGTAAACTAGCGCTAACGCACAATTGTTGCTGATTGGCTTTCAGGGACTGCGGTGCACTGCCTTTACGTGAGAGAGTCTGATCTACCTTTAAGATTTTTAGCAGAAAGACGCCATGATGAGCTTTGCACTGACTAACTTTGTTGTTTTTTGAGATATACCCTGTGGAATAAGACAAATAAGACATATGCACAACATACAGTAAATACGTTCAGCAGTCACTTTATTAGGTATACCCTGCTAGTACCAGGTTCGACCCCCTTTTGCATTTAGAACTGCCTTAATTCTTCATGGCATTGACTCGACAAGATGCTGGAAACATTCTTCAGAGATGAGGGTCAATATTGATATGATGCCATTACACATGCTGAAGATTTGTGAATGTCCTTATCCACCACATCCCAAAGGTGTTCTATTGCATTGAGCTCTGATGACTGGGGAGGTCATTTGAGTTAAGTGAACTCACTTTCATGTTCAAGAAGCTGGTTTGACATGATCTGACCTTTGGGACATGGCACATTAATCTACTGGAATGAGCCATGAGAGGATGAGTAAACTGTAGTTATAAATTATGAATATAGCCAGCAACAACACTCAGGAAGGCTGAAGCAATGCTCAGTTAGTCTTATGGAACCCAAAGTGCGCTAAGAATATATCCAGTACACCATTTCATTCTGGACCCATGTGATTTACGTCGAACCAGGCAACATCTTTCCGATCGTCTATTGTTCGATTTTGCTGAGCCTCCGTTTCCTGTTCTTAGCTGACAGGTATGACACATGGTGCGGTCTTCTTCTCCTGTAGCCCATCTGCTTCAAGGTTTAATGATGTGTTGTGCACTCATAGATGCGTGTCTGCATACCTTGGTTGTAAGAAGTGGTTATTTCAGTTACTGTTGCCTTCCTATCAGCATGAAGCAGTCTATATATTCTCCTCTGACCTCTGGCATTATCAGTTCTTTGCAAACCCCAGGAAATGTGTTTGTAGGCAAATCCCAATCAGCACTTTGTAAAGTACTCAGATCTGTCATCAACAACCTTCGAAACTCACCTAAATCCCCTTTATTCCTCATTCTGATGATCACTTTGAACTTCATTAGGTCATCTTATTCAGTCACTGAGTTGCTGCCATGTGATTGACTGGTTAGATATTTGTGTTAACGAGCAGTTGACTGGGTGTGCCAAACAAAGTGGCTGGCCAGCATAAGTGTAAAAAGGAAAAGCAGCTGATGTTAGACTTGGTGCAGTACAAATACTGACAGTTTATTAATCCTATGAGGGGCAATTTGTTTGGACTAACGAGTTATAAAACAACACATGAAGACAAATAAATGAATGAAAAAAATTGTGCTGAATTAAAAAAAAAAGGCCATAAATAAAATCCATAAACAAGCTCAATAAATACCAATATAAAAGTTCAAATAAGACCTTGACAAACAATGTTTAGACCTACAGAGGATCACATAGTGAAATTGCAAACGGGCCGAAAGCTCCAGGCTGTGGCCTCTCATTATGAGGTAGAGAAGCTATCAGTGCTCTGTCGGTTAACTGAAACTACTGGAGGACTATTCAGACACTTACTCTGCTCATTAGGCTAAAAAGAAGAACACACATATAAGATTAAATGAAATGGATGATAGAGCTCAGTTCAGTGTTCACTCAGTCACTCATCCTGTAATAAAAATTAAAGTGGTACTTGCTGCTCAGGTTTATGCTTTTATCCTTTTTTGTAGATATACATCGCTACATTTGTTGTGTCCGGTTATGCATCCAGCTACTACAGAACTGGGGGAAAGCCTTTCAACCCTGTTCTTGGAGAAACATATGAATGTGACCGACCAGATAAAGGCTTACGATTTGTTGCAGAGCAGGTATGAATGATTCTTGATTTGTTATCTGACTGGATTCATATGAATATTTACATTTTTATGTTTTATTGTATAGCACTGTTCAAAAAAGTCAACTCAGAGCTCTTTGTGTGATTAACAAAGCATTTTAATCCCCTTTACATCAGGTCAGCCATCACCCACCAATCTCAGCTTGCCATGCAGAGTCTAAAAACTTTGTGTTTTGGCAAGGTACTGGATTATTGATTTTGATCCATTCTCAGTGATCTTAAATACTAGAATAGCACCTATTGTCTGGAATTAATGTTCATTTGTTCAATTTTTTTGCAGACGTGAGGTGTAAAAACAAGTTTTGGGGAAAGTCAATGGAGATTGTTCCTGTGGGGACCACTCATGTAACTCTGCCAGGGTGAGTCTCTTCTGCCTCATTTACATTGGCGCTGCACAGACCCCTGCCTGGGCATTGTGCAGACGTTTAGAGAAAATCACGCAGCGGGGGTGTAGCACGATTCACAGTATTTTTCCTCTCCTGTTCTTTTTCCATTCAGATCAATAACAATTCCCCATTCTTCGTCTGTGGTGGAAAAAATGTTTTCATATTTTATTTTTGTGTCAGAACCACATACAGATACAGATAAATTATTTATATTATAACTCTAATATGTAACAGTGTCCATATATATATATTTTTTTTTTGAAAACGACAGATTTGGAGACCATTACGAGTGGAACAAAGTGACCTCTTGCATCCACAACATTCTCAGTGGGCAGCGCTGGATTGAGCACTATGGGGAGATCACCATCAGAAACTCCAGCAGTGATATTTGTCAGTGCAAGATCACTTTTATTAAGGTAAGGTAAACATATGCAAGGCATCATCCAGCCTGATGGCCTCTATAACAAACTCTGACAACATTTATAATGCAAAATCTTCAGGAACAAGACCTTATTTGCAAGTTTTAGTGACTCTTTTATTATTATATCATTTATCACAGTCTCATTTCAAACCTCTTTCATCTACTGTCAGACTTTAAATCAAATAAAAACTTTTTAAAGATGCTTAATTTAAATCATCCATTTGTATTTATGCACTACTTGTACCATACACCATAGAAATCTTTAGGTTGTTACACAATAAACATAAAATATGCCTGTTGTACTAAACAGAAAAACTGTGAACACATGAATTAATATTTAAGTAACATTTACATAAATATGACATGAATAAACTGAACATGCTAATATTTTCATTAGGAGTGACCAGAAAGGACAAGATTAGAAATGTATCAGAGGAACAACTCAAGTTGAATCAATTGGAGATAAGTGAGATGGTTTGGACAAGCGCAGAGGAGAGATGGTGAATGTATTGGTCGAAGGATGTTAAATATGGAACTCCCAGGCAGGAGGAAAAAAGGAAGACCACAGAGAAGATTTATGGATGTAGTGAAGGGTTGGTTTGTCAGACGAGGAGGCTAGGGATCGAGGGAGATGGAGGGAGATGGAGGAAGATGAGCCACTGTGGCTCCCTAAACGGAGCAGCTAAAAAAAGATTACATGAATAAACTTACCACATAGCTACATTTATAAACGACATCTAAAACACAAAGGCAGATTAAATTGTATTTGGTGTGATTGCATTGTCGCATCACCAGATGCATTATTCATTAATGGCATACTTTTCTGAAAACCCCAAAGTAATCTGTAACAATTAGAGTGAAGTAGAGAACTGCACTGAAGATTACTTTGCAGGACCACGAAAAGTAAATTATTTCTGAAATAGAAAATAGGATTTCTTTGTTTTTTTCTCCAAACAATTTGGTTTTGGAAGCATGTTGGATGAATATACTGTAGTCACAAATCAGTTTATGAAAGGTGCACTACTGTGAGGCAACAGTCTTGTTTCATATTCATACCAGAGTGCTTTTCTGTAAAAGCAATCAGCCATAATGATGGCTACCACATTAACATGTCCCTCTATGAATCTCAGGGGCTTGTAGACTGATCAGCAACAACATTAAAACCAGCTGCCTGTCCATGTTGAACTGTCAGAGCTTTCGGGGCTTTTAGCTGGGGTCTCTATGTATCCCACATTTGACTGATCAAACTGACATCTTGGAAATGTGGAAATGCTTGACATGGATAAGATCAGATTTGCTTTACTTATCTGAAATGTTTAGAAATAACTATGTGACGGCAAAAATAACTCAATAACTGAAAAAGCTCAATAGAGTAAATATATCACAAGCATGGAAAGGAAAGAAACGTAACTAAGGTACACTAAAGAAGGAGGGCGCTTAATAAAAAATTGATCAACTCAATCAAAATCTACATATAATAAAAGATAAGGATCTTAATTTATAAAAATCTATTAGATAAATGCAGGTATGAGGTGTACAAAATGTTCTGCATTTGTCCTCGCGACAGCAGAGGTGAAACAGATATTAGAGAAAGTGGTCCACTGCCTGCCCAGTAAGTGGTGCAGATGGGGTCCAGGTTATCCATTACTTATCTACCATAGCCACAGTCATTTATATAACCTCTGCGTTACCTGATGGAGGAATCTACAAAGTGTGTTTATCCAAACTGTTGTTCTTGCATCTATACAGATGGTGTTTTTCACCTGCATGCCAACAAAACCCAACAAACAAATGATCTTTTTTTCTCATTTTTTTAACTATGGAGTCATTTGCCAAGAGGAGAAGGTTCATTGCTTTAGTTTGCGTCACTCGAAAGACCTCGCGAAGCTGTGCAGTATAAGTCAAGACATGCCAGAACACATTATGCATCCTCATCTCTCATTAACCCTCTCAGGCTCAAATTAAGATTTTTTTTGCTAATGCACAACTAAGTCCTGCAGTGGTACTTCTGAGTAAAAAAACATGTATGTGGGGTAATCAGGTTGTTAGTTTTTAACTGTTGCAAATCAGCAACGCCTGCCTCGAGAGGGTTAAACACACCGGCCCAGCAACACAAACACACTGGGGATCAAATGGTTGACGCAAGAGCAACATCTGCTGACTGTAAGAGACACTGTCGTGGGCTATGTGCATTCTTTCATACTCACCCACTATAACACGCTGCTTTTTTTCTAACAGGCCAAATACTGGAATTCGAGTGTAAATGAGATAGAGGGGACTATCACAAATAATAAAGGAAAGGTTATCCACCGACTCTTTGGAAAGTGGCACGAAGCGGTTTTCTGTGGAGACCCACCTTCAGCTACATGCATCTGGAGAGCAAGTATGAAAGTCTCTCAAAATTAAGTAGAAAAAAAAACCTCTTCAATAATGCATCTCCCTGTTATAGCTTCTCATGCTGTTGATGTCACTTGTGTACAATATAGATGCAATGCCAGTAGACCATGAGCAGTACTATGGCTTCACGAAGTTTGCAATTGAGCTGAACGAGTTGGACCCATCCCTGAAACTGCTGCTACCACCTACAGACACGAGACTACGAGTGGACCAAAGGTAAGAGGAAAAAAGTGAAAAACATTTAAAAACCCATTAGTATATTTCCATGCACTTACGCAGCCTGGTGATCGTCAGCTTAATTTTAATAAATGTCAGTGAGAAACATACAGGGGGAAAAGGTTAAAAACTAATTTAGATATAACATCTAATTTTCCTGCCAGAGGACTGTCAGGCATAGCTGAATTAAAAACCAAAGCATTGCCAGTGAGTATCTAAGCACCACACCATCATTGATCTCAGTCACGTCCTGAAAAATGCACCTTGTGATCAAAAAAGTACAAAAATAGGCACTCGCGTTAAGAATAGTACACAACTGCACGCCCTTTCAGGCTATCACAATCAAACTAATTTTAGCTCATCTTTTAAGTTTTTTAAGTCTGCAAACTAAATGCTGCTGCCCCGAGGTGCTGGAGAAACAACGAAGCTCTCAGTACTTTGCCATCAAAGTATGAAGCTGCACTGCTTCCAGCTCTGCAAATAAGTGGTTATGTATTCTCCTTTTTAGCCCAAGCTCCACCGTCTTACAACGATCCAGAGGTAAAGTAAAATCAGCAGCCAATTTATATTTATATTATACCAGTTCTCTTAACTGTAGGCTTATTTACTTTTTTTGTTCAATATTTTGTCATAAATAATAGGAAAATGTATAGATTTCTATAAATTAAAGTGGAACAGGCTCACCGCCTTTACGCATACAGACTGTTTATGCCCACGTTGGAAATAACCCTGTGACAGGGCCATTCAAAAACAGGAAAACCCCTAAAATTCACTCGAAATGAGAAGACGCGAGTGAAGATTATGCTTGGATGTGGAAGATTAATGTTTTAAACATCTGCATAATGAATGCGTCTGGGTCTCAACGGCAGACTGCTGGAGGAGGGGAAGTTAGAGGCTGCAGAGGAGCATAAGCAGAGGATTGAACAGCTCCAGAGAGACAGACGGAGAGTCCTGGAAGAGAACAATGCAACACATCAGCCTAAATTTTTCAGGTACCCTGAGTATCTAAGCTTAAAACTTTCTCACCTAGAAAGTCACTTATGGAAAAGTGACCACATCTCCGCTCCTAATGGTGAAACACAACTTGTAAATCTGTCGTTGACAGTGTTAATTGCAGTTGTGCGTCTTTTCTGTCTCCACAGGAAGGCACAGGACGATACCTGGGTGAGCAACAACACGTACTGGGAGCTGAGGAAAGACCCTGGCTTTGCCCATGTAGATTTCCCTACACTGTGGTGACCGTGTGCTGCAGATCATACAAACATTTGGACCTGCACAGCCTCTACTGTGATTTGTGATCCAGACTGGTTCTGGTGATGTCTGTATCTCATTCTGACCATCCACATTCTGTACTGGAGTTCATCAGAGTTATTGCCTTAATAGCAAGTGCTTATCTGAGTTGTATAAACACATTTATGCAAACATATTATGAGAATGTTGCTCAATTTGCAGTAGGCCAATTTCATTTTTTTGCCTGCATTCCACATATTATGTTGTGCTAAACCACTTAAACTAAGAAAAGGAAAGATCCTTGGTATGAAGGATGAGAAGAAGAGTTTCATAGTTTATCTACACTAGCTTAAAATGTACTGATCAACTGGTTATGTTGGTTGTTGTCTTACCATGGACATTCTCTACCTCTGAGATAAACTAGCCTCGCTACGCCATTGATTCAGTGTAAACATCCGATATTTATTCTGCATCTGCCTGATGCCTTACTGGTTGTACTCAAACTTGTTTAATTTATTTTGTTGTACCTGCCAGATGTTTAAAAAAATAAAACAAAAGTCTATGTTTCGTAAGGAATTCTTGCTAACAAAATATTGTGCAAGCGATCTCCGAATCCTTACTGAAGTGATTTTTCTGTCCGTTATGAGTATTTACTGCTTTTCGCTATGAATGTGTGAATGATTGTGCAACTATGAGCAGCTGTAGCAAACTCAGTCATATCTTTTTCACTTTATTCAGCACACCATTGTCTATATGGACCCTGGGCTTTGGGACCAAAAAAAAAGGGAAAAGAAATGTCCGAAAACTATGCTCCATGAGCTCAAATAAAATTTCTGATTGTTTTCTTTTTTGTTGAGTCTTTTGTGGTTGTTTGTTCAAAAACACTGAAAGCATAGACAGTTGAAATAATTCCCTCTCATCTCAGATGATGAGTTGGCAGGTAGATAGCCTGATTATAATTTTGGTGCACAAAGGAAAAATGCAATTCATTTTAAACATGATGGGTCAGGAATGCCACACGAAAATGCCATTTAGGAAGCTATGAAAAGCAATTGGGGTATAAACACTAGGTTTACTGGGAATGTGAAGCAGTTTCCTGCTTCTTACTATACATATTCCTTAAGTGAAGTAGCAACTCTTAAAGGACTGGTAAAAGATCATCTGCTAAATTATAGAATTTTTTGCTCGTGGCTGCACTTCATCCCTTTATAATGTTCTTGGCTTTATGGGTTAAATGTCAGTGCCATCTAAATGGAAACCTGTGCATGATACTTTCCCATGAATAGCCTGCAGTATACAGTAGATATGTGGCTACGTTTCACAACTGTTGAGTGAATTGTTCCAATCACTTTAGAAACAGCTGTATGTGTTTGACGACGGTTCGTGTTTATGGCTTGTTTTTGCCCGTCCTGCTAAGCAATGACCAGAGTTCAAGGTTAATGAGCAATCATGGAGCCATGCAACAAGTAAAGGTTATCATTTATAAATAAGGAATGCAGGAATGTTGTGAAAGTCATGTTGATGAAAAGAGTAAGATACCGCTAGTGAGCCTGTCTGCATTTTTGACATCCTACAATATGATAAATGAGAGGATTAATTTGCTGATGATTTTTTTTACAATTAATGAAGCAAAGACACGAAAAAACATGTTCATACTTTGAAAAAAGGGCTCCTTTTGTTTTCTTTCTTTCTTTTTTTTTACTCTAGTAGTATAGTTTGTTTTGTTTGTTAATCCACGCTAGCGAACATGGGCTCATCAGATTGCTGGGTGATCTTAAACAGCCGCTAGGTGGCGACAAATGCAAATGAAAGCGGACTACTGATAATCTGTTTTTACAAAAATGCCCCATAAAATATTGTCACTGGTCAAATAGGACTGAATAAATTATAATGCAGAGCAGTAGAGACATCAATGCAGTGTAATTAAGATACTTGTAAAATAGGTTATTTCTTTATTTTATATATATAGTCCCTACATAAATCCAGTTGACAATTTACCAGTACAAGCAAATATAGAAGAGACATTATTATTATTATTATTATTATTATGATAAGCTGGATTGTAAGCGTACAGGAAGAAAGGCCATATATGCCATATATGTTTCGGCCTCTCCTACCGTGCAGAGGGCGGAGCCTTTTGTCCAAAACAAAGAGTGCAGGAAACCAGGCTGAGCTACCACAGAGGAACTGACTCCTGTAAAAGTCTGACCACTGGGGAGTTTCTCTTGCAGGTCACCAATAAAGCGAAGACTCCGTGGAAGCGGTAGGTGGAAAATTAGCCAGATTAAAAAAAAAAACTAGCATATTTCGTCTTATCTACAGTGACTGCTGCACCGATGGACTTTCGGTTTCCATAATAACCGGTGCTTTGATTGTTGTCGTGCAGACTGGAGGTTTTAAATGTAAAGAGCTGTATGGTGTCTACTATGTTTTTGCTTGAAATGAGTACAGTGGCTGAAGTAGGAAGTTTATTTGTGTTTAGTCCTAAGGAGGAGCTCACATGGGTGAGGTCCTCTGTAGCTGTGTAGTAAACGCCTCCCCTCTCTTCTCTCGCTTTCAAAGCTCGCAGGCTTTATCCAGCCGAAAGATGTTTGCTCTGGCTACCAGAAACTTTGTGGAGGAGGTGGAAGATAACGGGTCCCTGATCCCGGTGACCAGCCTGAATGACACCATTGCTCTCCTGACGGTGGTGGTGAAGCGCAGGCGTTTCTGGTGCTGGCAAAAGTCCAAATATCTTCCCACTGATTTTAATCTCAATGATATACTAACAGGAGACACACCCATAAAGCCAGGTAAACCTCAAAAGCAGCACGAAAATGGCCGCATGTGTCACAGTTTACTCTCCCGAGATCACAGAAATTTGATTTTTTTAAAAAATATATTTATTTACCTTTTGCAGTTGTGGTTGAGACAGACTTCATCAAATACAGTGGGACATTTAGTGACAACATTCAGGGAACTGTGGATGCAAATTTTTCCAAATACAGCATTAAACTTCAGGGTGAAGACTCATCCAAACTCCAGTCATCTTTTGGAAGCTTGAAGAAAGAGGAGATTGATATGCAGAAGTTGCTGCAAGACTCAAAAGACAAGTTGGTTCACAATCTGTACCTGGTGTCACATGTAAAGTTGTTTCAAACACTCTAAACATCACCTGCCGATCAGCATGTTAAAGATCGCATAAGTGATCTTTGTCCAGCTGTAAAGTTTCACACAAAACACGATGCCCGGTTGAATATTAACGCAAGAAAAGATGATGTAGGATAAGTCACAATAAAATTTTGTTTCCAAGAATGTTCCTGGTGAAACTCACCACATCTTTCTTGTGTTAGGGTTCTGGACATGTCCCACTGTCTAATCCAGCAGACAAAGGAGAAGCAAAGACGGGTATTTGGGATTGTAAAGGATCGTATTGTAACCACTCAACCCTGTTCAGTCATAGAGGAGGTGCAGCAGGGAGGACAGTGTGGGGGAAATCTGAGCACCTGTGGCCCCAAGATGACTAAGGTACAATATCAAACCTCGTATCAGACCTAATAGTTGCTGGTATTTAGGGTTCGGTCAGTTTTTAAAGTTGCTAATACATTCCTATATTAAGTCAATAAGCTAAGTTCACAATACAAAATTCATAGGTCCTGTTGCCAGGTGAGCAATACATGTGCTGCTTTTACCCGGATGAGTTTCAGATCTGCGTGTGCCAGCTTTGCGTGTACATTTTGAAAGCAGAAGAGAATAAGAAGAAGTGGAATAAATCTTGCCCACTATGCATGAAACAGTTGCATTGTGGTTCCTCTTCAGAATTCAGGTCCTTCATTTATCCTCGGTTTTTCCTCTTCATTTCCAGAAATCAAAACTGGGAATTTATTGTTTATGTTCTAGCTACATACAGTACTGTGCCAAGGTCTCCAGACAGACTTGACATTCAAGGCTCTTCCTTGGATGTTGGCTGCCTCTTTTTCTGTTTTCTGCCAGGATGATCCTACACTGCTTCAATAACGTCGATGTCCGGGCTCTGAGGAGGCCAGTCCTTTTTGTCCTCCACTGGTCCAGTTTCCTTAGATTTTTTTTAAGGAAACGGCACACCATACTGAGATGTGCCAAGCCTTCCACTAATAGCTCTTGGGTATCACCCTGTGTATGTCAAATTGTGTTATCTTTGATATATTTCCTACATTTAACCAAAGAAATGGGAACAGATTATGTGCTTTAACAGGCTGTTAGTAACAAAGTTATTAAAGGCTTTTTTTAAATTAAAGATGGATTCAGTTGTAAATGTTAAGTGGTTTAAAAAAATAAATTAAATAAATAAATAAAATTCCTCTGAAGGGTCAGGTATAAGGATTGGAATGAAAATGAGTGAAAAAGCAGCCAGTGTCCAAAGAAAAACTATCAAAAGACATTCAGAAAGCCTGGAGAACTGTTGCCTAAGACCACTTTAAAAAAAATCACAAAAAAAGTGTGACTCCTTGGACCTAAAACTCAAGACCTTTGCAAAGTACTGTAGTTAAAACTATATCTTATATTAAATTCTACTATAACCTTAAAGAAAATATTGAATCTTTAAATAATTCTTTAAAGCAGATTAATATTTATGACACTCACTGAGGAATTTTGTTGCCATTTGTTCTGATTCGGTGTTCCTGTTTCTTCAGTTTTTATTGAAGGAGAACGCAAGCTTGGGCAATGACAGTGACATTACCATGGAGATTCCTACCAACACTCCAATAGCCTATAGCCTTATAGAACTAAAGATCAAACACGATGGACAATATGGTGAGAAGTCATTAATTGTATTTGTAGAGTAACTGTCTTACTTCATGTTAATTTAACAAGAACTGATAAACTCAAAGTTATATTTAGTAATTGCAGGATCAGCATCATTAGTTCTAGGCTATTGTTGGAAATATCCATGTTCTGTCTCCTTGAACTATCACGTGCATTTTCCACAGAGCTGTGTGTATTGTCAGGCACCAATGGAGGCTTTGATAAAGTTGATGGTACTGCTAGAATGAAAGACCAGCCGTCTATTTCAGGAGCTCCTGCACATTCATCTGACAATAGCTGCCTTCAACAAGGTAAATCACTGTTTTCGCCTCAGATTTCTTACCTTTTCCAGCAAAAAAACACACGATTGCATGCAGAGAAATGTCCTGCACACCAGAGCTGTAGAGCACATCAGGTTAGTATTTGTTTCTAAGGTTTTGTCACCACAGTGGAAAGTTTCCATGCATTATTACACTATAACTGAGCAACCGAGATCAAATGTTAGACTGAAAATGAGAGCATGTGATTGGCTAGTCTGTATGACCAGTTCTTATATATTGCATTCTGCTCTTTCCTCCGTGGATAGCTTCTCTCTCTGCTTTTCATTCTTTCCCATAACGCCAGAGTTATGGATATATCTGACAGCTCTGTGTTTTTTTTACAGTGTTCCTTATGTTCTAAAAAGGACGCTCCTACAAATACTTGTAAAACTAACTGTGTCCACTCTTTGCAACAGAGCCTTGAATTTTTTGTGGCCTTAGATTCTTTGAAAAGGGCTCTATAAAAATACAGGTTATTATTTTTAATAATATTATTTTTATTAGTAGTAGTAGTAGTATTAAAAGTCTACCGTTGGGATTTAATATAGAGGTGCAGTGTTAGTTTTACAGCTGAAAGGTGTGAACGCGGATATTTTGGTGGCTAGCCTTGTTGCCTATTCATATTTATAGGAGTTTCATCTTGATAGCACAAAATTTAAGGAGAAACATACAATTATACTTCACAAGGATTTGTGGCATACAGTTTAGCTCTAAATTTAATGCTGTAAAAAGCATGTCTTACTTTGGTTTGAGGATTTTTGATAGTTGGAGCGTTCATTTATTGGGAACGAGGGGGAAATGTTATGAGAACTGGGTTTCAGGTTTTTGTCACATTTCTACATAAAGCTCGGTACATAATTAAAAAATCTCTGCATGTTTTTTCTCAGCAGTGCGCACACAGTTATTTTCATATAGTTTCCTTTTGATTAATGCCAGAATCTTAAAATATGTAGTAATGACTTTAAGAAGTACCAGCAGCCTCACACAGCCTACAAGAAATTACCTTTACTTGTAGCTTCATGGCCACAGTAATATTTTCATTAACACGAGTATGAATCAGGATATGACTATAAAGGGTTTTGTGTTCCTCTACACATTGACATCACTCACTCCGTCATACTCCTTCATTGGGTGTGCTCGTTTTTCAGCCACTAATTTGCGCTGCTCTAGGCATGTAGTTATTGAAATGAACCAACTACATATTTGTATATAAATCAGCACATTATTAGTAAATTATCCACTTTCATGGGTGTACTTTTGTTAATGCAGATTCTTTGGCTCTTTGGCAAAAAATGGCATTTGCTTTTTCTGTGTTGCGCTCCAGCAGCACCACACCTCTGCTGTATTCAAGTCAAAGGGTCTCAAAGATAAGAGACCTTGCTGCATCTTATCAGAAGGGTGTTAAACGTATATGTAAACACAGTTTTGACCTATATTAAAAGGGTACAATACAGTACAGTTTACTCTTTAGTTTGCTATGGAAGTTATGTACTGACTGTATGATTTTATTGGGTGGAATTTTGAATCAGGACTTAACCTGCTTGGAATAAGCCAAGATAATGGTTTTGCATTCACCGGCCACAGCATGCATGCGTGTATTGACTTTTTTTTTTAAATAGCATGTATATACACATGCAGTGTTTTATTAGCTTCTACATATTGTTGTGGTTTACATCATCATAATCTCAGTTAACCTTTTTAACGTGCTCCGGGAGAATGTTTTATCTTTGACAGTGAATGACAAACTGTCCTTATTTTTCTGTCTTCAGAACTAGACCAACTGAGCGATCATTTCCAGCTGCTTTCAGCTCTTCCGGCATCCACCAGGTCCGCTCTGCTACAGCAAATTACAAAACTTTTGCAGGATCAGATCACCATTAGTGCACTTCAGGATGTGG